AGGTTGCAGTGAGCCAGGATCGTGCCATTGCACTCCAGCCTGGGTGACAGTACAAGACTCCATCCTCCCCCAGAAAAAGCACGTGGAGGCCCTGAGCTGAGGCAGAGGTCAGGGCCTGTGTCCTACCTCCCATCCTGGCCCTACCGCCCAGGCAGGTGGGGCTCCCTTCTAGTCCCTGGAGGAACATGGACTCCATCACAGGGTCACAAAGCGGCCAGGAGCTCAGTGGACGCAGACCTCTACCAATGCCAGAAGCTTCTTCTGGCAGGCGTGTGGGGGCTGGGGACAGATCCCAGGAGCAGCCACAAGGTAGTAGAGAGTGGGTGCTGGGAGGAGCCAGACTCCACCTGGCAGCTGAAGCCTCACCAGGATTCCATGAGGCTTCTGGGAGGTGGCCAAGTCTGCCCCATGCTCTCCTTCCCTCTACAGGACAGAGTCTGAGGTGCCGCCCAGACCAGCCTCTCCCAAGGTCACCAGGAGCCCCCTGGAGACAGCTGCCCCAGTGGAGGACGTGGCTCGGAGGAGTGAGTTGGCTGTGGGAGGGGACAGAGGGTGGGTAGGGAGAGGGGACAGGCAGTCAGGTCCTCCTACCTTTTTAGGCAGCCAGGGAGGCAGGAATCAAGGTGATAAAAAGCCCCAGTTTTGCCACCTGGCACTCCAAGTTTAGATTTGAGTTCTTTGACTTTGGGCAGGTGAGTTCACCTGTCTGAGCCTCACCTTCCTCCTCTGTGTAATGGGACAATAACTGCACTTATCTTATGGGGCTGCATGGAGCCTTCAGTGGTGCCACAGCAAGTGCCTGGTCCTGGCACATAGCAAGTGCCCACTAAAGGGGAGCCGGCGTGAGCACTGGGGCACTGGAGTGAAACCACGTGTCTACTAAAAATACAAAAATTAGCCGGGCGTGGTGGTGTATGCCTGTAGTCCCAGCTACTCAGGAGGCTGAGGCAGGAGAATCGCTTGAACCTGGGAGGCGGAGGTTACAGTGAGCCAAGATTGCGCCACTGCACTCCAGCATGGGGACAGAGTAAGTCTCCATTTCCAAAAAATAAATAAAATTAAGTGGACAAGATAATTTCAGAAGACAAAAAGAGGAAAATGAAACTGGAAAATGTGATGGAGCAGCTGGGGTGGCCATGGGGTGCTGCTGTAGCTAGGGTGCTCAGGGGCCTCCGAGGGGGCAAAGGGCACAAGGAGAGGTCTAGTTGATGATGAGCCAGCCTTGGAAACAGTGTTCCCGGCAGGGGGAACGGCGAATGCAAAGGTTATGAGGGGCACGGAGCTTGGTGGAGTCACCACAGGCCACGCGGACGCTCAACCTCCCTCCCCCTTTCCTTCCTCCACAGCCAAGCGCCCAGCGCCGGCCCGGCCCACCATGCCACCCCCTCAGGTCTCTGGCACCCGCTCCTCCCCTCCAGCTCCATCCCTGCCCCCTGGCTCTGGAAGCCCTGGGACCCCCCAAGCCCTGCCCCGACGTCTGGTTGGCAGCAGCCTCCGGGCCCCCACAGTGCCACCGCCATTGCCCCCCATCCCCCCTCAGCCTGCCCGGCGCCAAAGCCGGCGTTCACCAGCCTCCCCCAGCTCAGCCTCCCCGGGTCCAGCCTCCCCCAGCCCAGCCTCTCTGACCACCCCAGCACAGGTGGACTTGGTGGCTGGCACAGCAGAGGGAGGAGCCCCTGAGGCTGTGGGTGGGGTCCACACTCCCCCAGCTATCCCCCCTCAGCCCCGCCCCAGGAGTCTTGCCTCAGAGACCAACTGAGTGGCCAGTCTCTCCCTGAGCATCCCCCCGCTCCCTACCTGGCCCTTCCAAAACAGCTTTCACGCCTCCCAAGGGGTGTGGGGCTCCAGCCTTTGCCCACAAGTGCCTTTGTGCCCATTGGGCCGGCCCCCATGGCCAGGAGGGCTAAGGACAGTCCGCTTCCTGACCTTTTCCTCGTCCACCCTGGGCTTGGGGACCCCGAACCAGACTCTCCACTCTCCGACAGATCCTAGGGGAGCCACCAGAAGGAAGGAGAGGCTTGCCCGCTCCTCCAGGACTTTCATTCTTCTTTGCCAACGTATTTTTTGTAAGGCTGGTAAATAAATTATTCTGGACAAAACCGGAACAGCTGCCCAAATGATAGCTTTCTTTTCTGTCCTCGAAATAAAGAAGCCAATTTTATAAAGGGGAAAAAATTAAATATTCTTTGCCTCCTTTCTTCCTGTCTGAAATGAGATCACAGCAAACATTTTTAGAGCTTTCTCTGCACTACACTCTGCTTTTCTGTGGATGATTTCCACCTGATCTCCTAGTACAGTAAATACTGTTACCTCTCTCCAGCAAGGACACCGAGACTAAGGCAGAAGTGACCCGCCAAGGTCCCATGGCGGTCAGCAGGGGCCTGGGATCAGGACCTAGCTCTGACTTGAAAGCCTGGCTTGTCCCTCACATTCTGGGCAATTGACTTAACTTCTTGGTATCCCTTTTCCTCATTTGGGAATATCCCAAATTCCCACCACGGAAGCATTGCTCTCCTGTGAAAACCAAAGCACCACCCCTGGCCCACAGAGTGCCTGCCATTCCCACTGTTTCCCGGACCCCTCACTCTCCCTCCGGGAGGAGGCTGGGAAGGCTCCCCAAGGAGCAGGGATGGATCTGTCCTCAAACTTTCCCTAAATCTCTGTGCCAGGCCCTGAGCTAGCTCCCAGACTTAACTCTGCACCCAAGGAGTTCCTGAACAGACAGGCAGGGGTGACTATTAGAATCAAGTGTCTGGTCAGGCACAGTGGCTCACGCCTGTAATCCCAACACTTTGGAAGGCCAAGGCAAGAAAATCGCTTGAGCCCAGGAGTTCACTTGTTGAACTCCTGGGCAACATAGTGAGACCCCCATCTCTTAAAAAAATTTTTTTTTTTTTCATAAAATTAACTGGGCGTAGTGGCATGTGCCTATAATCCCAGCAACTAGGAAGCCTGAGGCAGGATGATGGCTTGAGCCCAGGAGTTTGAGGCTGCAGTAAGCAGTGATCATGTCACTCCACTCTGGCCTGGGTGACAATGTAAGACCCTGTCTTGGCCGGGTGTGGTGGCTCACACCTGTAATCCCAGCCCTTTGGGAGGCCAAGGTGGGCAGATCACCTGAGGACAGGAGTTGGAGACCAGCCTGGCTGACATGGAGAAACCCCGTCTCTACTAAAAATACAAAAATTAGCCAGGTGTGGTGGTGCATGCCTGTAATCCCAGCTACTCAGGAGGCTGAGGCATGAGAACTGCTTGAACCCAGGAGGCAGAGGTTGCGGTGAGCTGAGATCGCGCCATTGCTCTCCATCCTGGGCAACAAAAGTGAAACTCCGTCTCAAAAAAAAAAAAAAATCAAGTGTCATTGCACTGGGAGCCCACATTAGCCAAGTGGGGGTTGGCCATATAACCTAGACTCGTGTGTATGGGGTGGGTGGTTAAGGAAGGCTTCTTGGAGGATATGATATTTAAGGGAAGTCTTTCAGGAACTGACGGTGAAATTTTTGAAGGAAAAAGGAACGTTCAGGCCAAGGAGACTACCTATCCAAAGGCCAGGAGAAAAAGGCTGGGGGCATTGGGGAATAGGAGGTAGTTGAGCCTCAAAGGCTGGGTTACAAGGTACGATTTTCCCTAAATCTTTAGAGCTCCAGTGCTCCTGGGGGTCACAGCTTCCTCTGAGGTTGGCAGATAACTTCAAAACTGTGACACCACAGCTCACAATTCATTCATCTCCACACCGCAGACCAGTGGCTCCTCAAAGGCCCCAAGACCTGTGGTTGCCTCCAGATCACAAGCCCGCCTCCCTAAAATGGGGCCCCAGCCAGCCTGGGTCGCCCCATCACCATCCTGGGCAATCAACCCCGGCCACTATGGCTCCAGCCCTCCCCAGGCGTGCTCCGGTGACAGTCTCCCTGCCTCTAGTCCAGCGCTTCCCTACGCTAGCCTCACAGGAGAACCCCTGTAATTCAACCAACCAACCAACCAAGAAATGCCCAGTCCTCACCCAGAACAATTACATGAGAATCTGTCCTGCTACACATCGGTGATTTTAAAAGCATTTCTCAAAAGACATTGAACTGTACATTTCAGATCTATGCATTTTACTATGTGTAAATGATACCTGAAAATAAGTTCCCAGGGGACTTTAATGCAGTGTGAGGAACCACTGGTCTAGACCAAAGGTCCCAGCGCCTAAGAAGACACCCTGAGCCTCCTACCTCATCATAGCCACACGTTTCTTGGGACTTGGCTCAGAACTGGAGCGTCAGGCCAGGCGCGGTGGCTCACGCCTGTAATCCCAGCACTTTGGGAGGCCGAGGCGGGTGGATCACGAGGTCAAGAGATCGAGACCATCCTGGTCAACACGGTGAAACCCCGTCTCTACCAAAAATACAAAACATTAGCTGGGCATGGTGGCGCGTGCCTGTAATCCCAGCTACTCAGGAGGCTGAAGCAGGAGAATTGCCTGAACCCGGGAGGCGGAGGTTGCGGTGAGCCGAGATCGCGCCATTGCACTCCAGCCTGGGTAACATGAGTGAAACTCCGTCTCAAAAAAAAAAAAAAAAAGAACTGGAGCGTCCACGATTCAGAGGGCAATGAAAATTTACCCAAAGACAGTTTATTTGGCATCTGTTTTTCTCCTAGCAACCAGCTCTCCTAAGCTTCTGATTGGCTGGAGGGCGCGGGGCCTTTCGCCTCGTGTTTTCTGTTTGTAGATTCTTATTGGTTAAGAAGAGCGTCAGTCTCCCACCCCTCAAAGACAGTAATCGACGTTGAAACTCGGCGGCGACTGGCTCAGCAAAACCAGGGGCGGGGAGAACGATCAAACTAGCACTTCATTGGTCCCTTCCCCTTGGTGGTGGCCAAGATTCCGCCCCTTTCTCCAAGTTCCGTTCGCTCGCGGCCTCGCTCCTCTCCCAGACTCCCGCCCCCATTGGCCGCAGGCCAGGCCGTCGCCCCGCCCCCCGGTCCTTCCGGCGTGCCGATTGGCTGCTGCAGGGAACGTTCCAGGACGAGCGCGCCGTGCCCGCGGAGAGCGCGCCGTGCGGGAGGTTGGCGGCCAGCAGGCTGCATGGCGCGCTGCGAGAGGTTGCGCGGCGCCGCCCTGCGCGACGTGCTAGGCCGGGCGCAGGGGGTCCTGTTCGACTGTGACGGGGTGCTGTGGAACGGTGAGCGCGCCGTGCCGGGCGCCCCAGAGCTGCTGGAACGGCTGTCGCGGGCGGGCAAGGCGGCGCTGTTCGTGAGCAACAACAGCCGGCGCGCGCGGCCCGACCTTGCCCTGCGCTTCACAAGCCTTGGCTTCGGGGGGCTGCGCACCGAGCAGCTCTTCAGCTCCGCGCTGTGCGCTGCGCGCCTGCTGCGCCAACGCCTGCCCGGGCCTCCGGACGCGCCGGGCGCCGTGTTCGTGCTGGGTGGCGAAGGGCTGCGCGCCGAGCTGCGCGCTGCGGGGCTGCGCCTGGCCGGGGACCCGGGCGACGACCTGGGCGCTGGGAACGGCGAGGCCCCGCGCGTGCGTGCCGTGCTCGTGGGCTACGACGAGCACTTCTCCTTCGCCAAGCTGAGCGAGGCGTGCGCGCACTTGCGCGACCCCGACTGCTTGCTCGTGGCCACGGACCGTGACCCATGGCACCCGCTGAGCGACGGCAGCCGGACTCCTGGTGAGCACGGGGTTGGCGGGTAAACAGATGGGAAAGGAGCGTCTCCAGGTGGCAGGTGGGGAACCAGAGAGTGTGAGGGAGGCCCAGGGTGTTTTGGTGTGTGTGTGCGGGGGGTAATTCCTGTAGCCTCCATCCTGTGAGGGGCCGCAGTGGGGTCCCTGTTGGACAGATGAGGAAACTGAGACCCACTGTAGCTCAGGGAGTCGGGCGGAATTCTGCCCCACCCACCATCGGGGTGGGGTTGGAGAGGAAGCCTGGGAGGATGGTCCCCTGTGTGAGGGTTGAAACACCATTCCCAGAGGCAGGGTGTAGGCAGGTGTGTGGGGAGCAAAGGCGGTGGAGTTCGACCTCAGTTCCAGGTCCATCTCCAGCTCCACAGCTGTGTAATCGTGTTCAGTTACGTAACCTCCAAGCATCTCTGCCTGGGTGAAAAATGGCAGTGCCCACTGTGCCAGTTTCATCCAGGTGGCGATGATCAGGGTGAGTATTTAGCACATAGTAGGTGTTCAGATGATGTAAGTTGTAGCCAGAGTCCCCCATGTTACAGAGAGCTTAATGAAACAGCTTGGTGTGTGTTCTTCTTTGGTTTCCAAATTACTCTGGAGATGGGAGTTATTGTCCCCTTTCTCAATTAAGGCAACTGAGGCAGCCGGGTGCAGTGGCAACGGTCTGTAGTCCCAGTACTCAAGAGGCTGAGGCTGGAGGCTCTCTGGAGCTCAGGAGGTCAAGGCTGTAGCGTGCTGTCATTGCATATGTGAAAAGCCACTGTACTTCAGCGCAGGCAACATATGAGACTTCATCTCTAAAAGAAGAGGAAAAGCGGGCTGTGGTGGCTCATGCCTGTAATCCCAGCATTTGGGGAGGCCGAGGCAGGCAGATCACCTGAGGTCAGGAGACCAGCCTAGCCAACATGGCAAAACCCTGTCTCTACTAAAAATATAACAATTAGCTGGGCGTCATGGCACATGCCTGTAATCCCAGCTACTCGGAAGGCTGAGGCAGGAGAATCGTTTGAACTAGGAAGAGGTTCCAATTAGCAGAGATCTCACCACAGCACTCCAGCCTGGGCAACAAGAAACTCTGTCTCAAAAAAAAAAAAAAAAGAGGAAAGAAACTGAGGCTAAGAGAAGGGAAGTGAGCTGCTCAAGAACACATATAGTGAGCCTCGCCACCTCCTGTGTCCCCACACACCTGCCTCCATCCTGCCTCTGGGAATTGCTGTTTCAGCTCTGACACATAGAAACAGTCCTCCCAGGCTTTCCCTCCAACGTCACCCCTATGATGGGTGGGGCAGAATTCTGCAGGCAACTCCCTGGTAGAGTGATAGAATGTGGGAACCTGAATTTGGCTTTGTGACACCGACCTCCGGTCCAGGACACTTCACTGCTGTCATCTTTCAAATTCAGCCCCGCAGGGGAGGCAGAAGCAAAAGAAGGCCCCTCCGTTGTATGGTGGAGGGTTCCAGTTAGACAAGAGCAGGTGGCAGCAGAGGCTATTGGTAGTGGTCAGTGTGTGTGTGGACAGGTTAATAACCCAGTCAGTAGACTGGGGGCGTGAACACATCTCTGTCACTCCCTCTCTGCTTGCTGGCCCCTTACCTGGACTGTCAGGATTATGGTGGGTTGGTGAGGAGGGCCTAGAGCCAAGGGTATCTGGGAAGACTTCCTGGAGGAGGCATGATGCAAGGCAGAGTGATAATATGCCAGGAGATGTAAACCCAGTGTTACAGTGTGGCAGAGAGGGATTCTGTAGTCTCCTGGCTGTGCTGCACACTTCCTGGTATGTGGGCTCACCTCAGCCTCAGTTTCCCCATAAATCTGTGTTGAGGGTTCTCTGGTCAGGGCTCTCTGCTGCAGCAGCTCCTGCCTGCCCTAGGCCATGGCTCTGAAAAGATTTTCCTTGGAGGCCTTAAGGCTCAGGTTAAGGCTGTGGGTTAAGAGGTTCCCCAGGGCTCTGGAAGGCTGGTTGTCAAGGAGCTAGGGAGAAACCAGACCCTGCTCCTGCCTGCCTTTCCGGCCTCTGTGGAATCCAGACCCCTGTGGTCTCAGTAGCCACCCTGCTGTGCCCACCCACCCATCCTGCTGTCACTCCCATAGCCTGGAGGGGGAGGCAGAGGCTTAACAAATACAGCGCTTCGATCTTGTTTGTGCACAACTTAATGATGCGGCTTTGAAATGGTGTGGTGTGAAAATATTAATAAGCCTCCATTATGCGTATCTCTGAAATAATGCAAATATCCCACCCCCAATTCACCGCCCTCCCCAGGGACCTTCTCAATTGTGTGTTTATCTTGTCATGGCAGCCACTTGAGCTGACAAATAGAAAAGCCCGCTGTCTTAGGAATACATCATCAGCATGGCATGCAGCAGCCCAGTTGGACCACAGAGTGGAGGGGAGTGGAATGATGGTGGCCTATGATGTTTCCAGACGCCCCTGCTGGGAGGCTCGCTCCCCTGGGGTCTGGGTCTTTGTAGTGTTGACCGCTGTATCCGGACCTTAGTAAATACTAGCTGAACGAAGTGGGACATAGGGCCCAAAGTGATCAGCTCCCTCCTAGTGGCGAAGGACAGAGTTGGGGCCATTCTTGAGCTCAGAAGAACATTTTGGGATGACTCAGTGGAAGCCCTTTCCATCCCAGAAGGAATCGCTCACCAGAGGAGCACACAGCTTTATTCTCTCTCTCTTTTTTTTTCTTTTTTCTTAAACATCTCAGGATTTTTTTTTTTTT